CCCTGAACTTCAGGCCCCACTGCAGAAACTGAAGTGTGCGCTTTACACGCGCAGCAGTTCACCAGTCCACAACACTGCAGGCGCAGGGCCATCTAGGCTTTTCCCCACCGAGCGGAAACAGAGGAGGCTCATCAGGCACAACCAACTATTCACACACAACTACACTACAAAAAGTGTCTACAGAGGAAATTGCGTTCATCAAATGAAAACTGCGGACATTTCATAGGGGACAAAGTTGAATTTATTATTAGCTTATGCTCAATGACATTTTTGACACAGGAAAACTTATAAAAGCTTATAATCCTCCCCTGCACAGCAGCGCCCTCTGGTGGGGCCGTGCCCCTAATGCAAAGACGCCACTGGAATGACGCCTTGATTCTGTTTGGGAAAGAATGAGGTAGAGAGGCTAACCAGTAAACAGAGAGTTGTTGGTTTGAATATTAAAAGAAGAGTGTGTTAGAGTTAGGGCTGCCCCCTGAAAGTCAGACATTCAGATTAGGTCGGAGACCCCCCCAGCTGACTAAATTCAATCAAGTCGAGCAATAGGTTCGTTTTGGTCCACAGATTTAGCTACAAAGTGAGTGCTCCTCACTTTCATGCTGCTCTTCAGTACAGGTAGCTGCTGAAACACAGGCATTCGGCCAGAGGAGGAGAGGCTTTGAATGGTTAGGCTTAGAGACAACATTATCTCATGCCCCCTGTGTGGAATTGGTGAATTCACAGCTCACAGCAACTACTATGATACAGTCTCGGGCTTTTGTTTGATATCTAGTGTCAGCAAAAAAAAAGTTGTTGCACTCTGGCAACCTGTTGTTAGCATAGTTAGTTTATTTACTTTATCATGTGAAAGTCGCTGTCACACTGAACGTCCTGCTGAACCCATTCAAGCTCTATATGTTTGAACGAATATCAAATATCCGTATTGAATGGCCCAGTGTAATTTGACTTACTGAGTCAGGCACAGCGCAAGTTACTTGGCCCGTAAGCCAGGCAGTGAACCCCTAAAGCATTCCATCGCGGTCATATACAGTATGTGCAGTTCAGGAGAGGTAAGTTTGTGTATGAGTACAGAGACAAATACCAGTGAGTAAGTTATATGACTGCTGAAAGATTGTTCTACCTCTAAAAGTGTGTGAAGCTGAAGAAACAATTATGTTATGACCATTCAACCCTTTGTTCACCTGTCAGTGAGTGCAAGCAAAGCTAAAGGCAGTAAAGAGAGAAATTCCGGGCACACTTGCTGAGACTTCAGAGAGATGACCTGTGGATGGTCCACTTCTTCTTCCCTTGTCCTTCCCTCATTGATGTATTACTGTGGGTTTAGCTGTGGTGAATAAAGCTATGAAAAATAAATAACATTTATGTATTTTAACAGCTGTTGTCATCTTTCTTAGTGAGTTATATGCATTAAAAAAGTAGAACACTGTATTTGAAATAAAATAATGAATAAAACCTGCAGATGTCTGAGTGTTTTATAGAAGATACATTTAGATTTTGTCTGAGATATGATATTTTGTGTGATTTGTCTACACTGTTATGAAATGAGAAATTGAATGTGCTGTGACTGGCAACAGGCATAAAATGTATTCATCCATGCATCCATTTTCATAACTGCTTATCCTCTTGAGGGTTGCGGGGGGGCTGGAGCCTATCCCAGCTGATATTGGGTGAGAGGCAGGCACACACTGACCTGATCAATGTCTTTTTTCTCTGGCTCCTTAGGTAGGTAGTTATGATATGATGTAGTTTTTGGAGCGTACAATGACATAGATGAACAGAAGATGGTGCTATCACTCCACTGCAGGTCAGTACACCTTGGTTTTATTTTACACTGCTAAAAAAAATATAGGGAACACATAATCCTCACAGTGTAACTCACTAACTAAGTCAATCAAGCTCCTGTGATATCAACCTGTCCAGTTAGGAAGCAATACTGATTGTGAATCAATTTCACCTGCTGTTGTGCAAATTGGGCAGACAACAGGTGGAAAGGAGAGACAATTACCAAGACAACCTCTATTTAGGAATGGTTATGCAGGTGGTGACAGACCATTTCCCTCTCTGCGTCCTTTCTGGTTGATTCTTGGCTAGTTTTGCATTTTTTCCAGTGCCCTCACCACTAGTGGTATCATGAGGCTGTATATGCAGCCCACAGAAGTTGCTCAGGTAGTGCAGCTACTGCAGGATGGCACATCCATACGCACAGTGGCCAGAAGGTTTGCTGTGTCTCCCAGAACAGTGTCAAGAGCATGGAGGAGCAGTACACCAGGAGAGGTGGAAGTGGCCGTAGGAGGGCAACAACCCAGCAGCTGGAATGCTATCTGCTTCTTTGTGCAAGGAGGAACAGGAGGAGCACTGCCAGAGTCCTCCAAAATGACCTCCAACAGGCCACTCGTGTGCAAGTTTCTGCCCAAACTGTCAGAAACAGACTCCATGAGGGTGGCATGAGGGCCCGACGTCCACAAGTGGGGCCTATGCAGCCCGACTGACATTTGCAAGATTCGCCACTGGCACCCTGTTCTCTTCACAGATGACAGCAGGTTCACACTGAGCACATGTGACAGGCGTGAAAGAGTCTGGAGACGCCGTGGTGAATGTTATGTTACCTGTAACATCATCCAGCATGACCGGTTTGGTGGTGGGTCAGTGATGGTCTGGGGAGGCATATCCTTGGAGGGCCGCACAGATCTCCATGTGCTAGCCAGAGGTACCCTGACTGCTGTTAGGTATTGTCAGACCATATGCTGGTGCAGTGGGCCCTGGGTTCATTCTGATGCATGATAATGCCCGGCCTCATGTGGCTGGAGTGTGTCAGCAGTTCCTGGATGACTGAGGCATTGATGCTTTTGACTGGCCCGCCTGTTCCCCAGCATCTTTGGGACATCATGTATCGTAGCATCCACCGCTGCCACATCGCACCACAGACTGTCCAGGAGCTGACTGATGCCCTGATCCAGGTCTGGGAGGAGATCCCCCAGGAGATCATCTGTTGTCTCATCAGGAGCATGCCCAGACATTGTAGGGAATGTATACAGGCACGTGGAGGCCATACACACTACTGAGTCACATTATGAGTTGTCCTGAGAAAATTCACAGAAGTTGGTTCAGCCTGTGACCTGATTTTTTCCACTTTGATTTTGGGTATGATTCTGAATCCAGTCCTAAATGAGTGATGATTTTGGTTTCCATAGATTGTTCTTACATTAGTTTGTTCTCAACGAATTACACTATGTAATCAGTAAAGATTTTCTTCTGGAATATTTCATTCATCGAGATCTGGGATGTGTGATTTAAGTGTTCCCTTCATTTTTTTGAGCAGTGTATTTTATTTTATTTTATTTTAATTGATGCACAGCTGATGATGGAGGCAGGTGTACAGAATGTATACCTGCATCAATAGCTACACCATCATGATTTAATGTTTCCTGATCTTTTGTAGACACTGAAAGGGCCAAATTTTAAATTCAAATATGACTTGTTTTTATATTCTATTGTATTATATTTTTAAAAGGGCATAAATGAGGAATCTACCTACCTATCTTCATTTGTTCATTATTCTTAACTGCTTATCCTGGTCCAGGATTGTGTGGGCTCTGGAGTGGAAGGCAGCGTGCACCTGAGCAGCTCATCAGACTATCACAGGACTGACATAAAGAGACAGATGGCTCGTCACAGTCACGCCTACATATAGTGAGTGTATAGCCAGAGATGGAAGAAGATGAACTCAAGTTAATCCCAAGTGGTGTGATTCTCTATATGCCCTCAAAAAGGCAAACCCATCTCTATCATGGTTTTCTGTTTTTATTCATTTATTTTTCTAAAGTGCCAATCTATAGCAAATTATATGCTTATTCTACATGAACTATAAAAAAAAAACTATAATTTCAGTATAAAAACTATTTAGTTAAACTAATAATTTCCCTTTTTTGTAGTTTTTGTCATATACAGATATGTAATGATGATTGCTGGGTAATATGTAGCCTATGTTGATGTTGTCCAATATCAAGTCTCTGTTTAATCACGTAACGAGACGATGCGATTTACAGTAGCTAGTTCAGGTGCAAAATCTCCCAAGACTGACAAGCTGGGCACATCTGCACTGGCAGCAGTAAGACACACTGTTAGAATATATATATATATATATATATATATGTGTGTGTGTGTGTGTGTATATTCTTATTTTTTACTAACAGTGTTTCTCGTGTCTTACTGCCACCTTTATGTTATACAGGCCTATATAACAAGGGCGCACTAGGGGCCGTCATAATAACATAATAGCCTACAGCAGGCTACCTTACGCCACTGCACCTACGTCAAATTTACAATCACCAGTTGACCTAACCTGCAGGTCTTTGGACTGCGGGAGGACTCCGGACAACCTGGAGGAAACCCACGCTGACACAGTAGCCTATGAACATGTAAATTCTAAACAGAAGGGCTAAAGCCGGCCAGTGGATTCAAACCCTGAAACGTCTTGCTGTGTGGCGACAGTGCTAACCATAGACATTTTTTCTCTCCAAACACTGTATTTATAACAAAGACGTACAGTGACGTACAGGAGCAAAAAGCAAAAACCACTGCCGAGCGGTGGTCTCAGTCTACGGCTGAATGTGCTCTGATATGACTCCAGACAGAGTGACATTCAGGGGGTGAGAGGCGTTGTCCGGAATACAGAACACTGAGTAGTTTTCTCAGCAGCCAGCCAGCCAATATCAATCATATTGGATCACATAGAGGCTAAATAAAGTTATGTTATAAAGACAACAAGTTCAGTGTATTCATGCATGGACAGTGCTGTATTGTTAATGGAAATGGACTGTTTGCAAGACTTTAGTTTTCCTGCATCACGGAACAACTAATCTCAAAACAGTCTGACAATGGGCGGTAGCCTACTTTGGGACATCAGCCAATCAGAGCCACATCCGTCAATAGGACAACTGGCAGTGAACTACTTGTGAGGCACTGTTTACTTTCTTCGTTGGCACTTTGTGTGGCTGAGTGTGAGAGCTCCACGGCGTCAGTGTCACTGAGCAGTTGGCAGCTGTCGGGCCACTGCAGCTCTGAAAGGTCGACATGAAGCTGCTGGATGAGCGGATCTGGTCGCTGTTTAAGCGCAACTGGCAGCATACTCTCACCTACTGGAGTGTGTTCTTTAGCTTCGGCCTGTGCATCGCCTTCCTGGGACCCACCATTCTGGACCTGAGGTGTCAGACTCAGTCCACCCTGCAGCAGATCACCTGGGTCTTCTTTTCCCAGCAGTTCTTCCTGTTGGTAGGCAGCGGCCTGGGAGGGCTCTTCAAGAAAACGTGAGTGTGTGTAATGAATACTGAGTGGGTGTCCATACTGAGTGGGTGTCCTGCTGTCTGACACTGTGCTGGTGCTGTTAGTCAATGTGATATTCTAGTGGTATTCCCATTAGGACTAATTGTGTCTGCAGTACTCAACAGAGTCATTGTAGTCGCCATAGTATGCCTCTAAAAAACTAAACTAAAAACTAAACAAAACTAAAAAAAAAAAAAAATGCAAGCAAAACCAAACTTTTCAATCCAGGCTTTTTGAGGTCCCATCAGTCCCACTGATGGAAGTGAGATGATTTTATACTGATGACATGGTTAAGAGATCTGCTACTGAAATTGAGGTATTACTTGTGTTTGGGGTCTCAGAGACCTAACTTGTGTAAGGGGTCTCATGCCGCATTTTCTGTATTTATGTGTCATGCACACAAACATATCCCCGAACCCTCGTGAATTTACAAGACACCATTACAATATTGTTGCAGAGATCAATCCAAAGTACATGTTGTTTTACTGCTGCAAAATTCTCAAGCTTGTATCCCAGGCCTGGTCACATCACACAGAAGAACAGACTGTACATTTCTGTCTGTGAATGACTGTTTGGCAAACAAAGAGATATGCAGTATATTTGGCAATACACAGACCATTAACAGAAAAACATATGTAAAGTATGAAATATTTTCTTAGTAGACACATAAGAATATTTTGTCACCTAAAAGATGTGCAAGCCCAGTTTGTGGCAAAGACAATCATCTACACCTCAATCATTTTAGTTTTAATAAGGTCAGAAGAAAGAACAAATATTTACAGGTCAATTTGTATAATTTGTACACATACAGTAAACAATAAGGAAGTAACACCAAAGTCAAGAAAATGCAGGTTATTGAATAGTATAAATCATTCTAACATTTGAGAATGTGCCAATATTCCTGTACATATTTATAATTCAAAGAAATATTTCTTTTTTTTTTATTTGTTTAGTGAAATATGTTTAGTTTACCAGGTCATTATGCCTACTTGTGTTCATTCTCTAGAAAGCCTGAGGTCATAGGTATATTTTGCAACTTAGAACTGACTATTTTGGGCTATAAAATAATAAAATAAAATAAAATAGAATAAAAACTGACCTTGGACCAAGCTGAATTGGACACATAGAGTAAATACAGCCTTACTCTTAAGGTGGAAGACTTGATATGACAGACTCATTGGATTTCAATGACCACGTCCACTTTCACCTTAAAAGTTAGACTGTATTCTAAATTTGACTGGCAAATCTGTAACATTCAAATGACAGAGAGTAGTTTCAGGTCTGTGCCTCACCCCACACATTGAGTAGCCAGTGAAACTTGACCAGAAGTGTGAAGGTGAATGTGTGAAGTGGTCAGGAACATGTTACCTGTTTTTTATACGAGATGAAAAGTCAGGGGATCCCCAAAGTCATCCAAAGGGGGGCTTGAATGTGTGTAGGAAATTCTATAGCAGTCCATCTAGTAACTGTTGAGACATATCACTCAAAACAAAAAATGTCCACCTCTTGGTGGCGTTACAAGAAATGTTAGAGAATCACCAAAGTCAGCAGAATTCATCATCTGGAGACCATGAATGCCCGTACCAAATGTTGTGCCAATCAGTCCAATAGATGTTGAGATGTTTTACAGGATAATGAAAAATGTTGACCTGCTGTTGGTACTAGAGGAAAGGCCAGTGGATTGCCTAAGTTAGAAGGATTCATCCTCTTGGGATCTGTGTACAAAATTTCATGGCAATCCATGCATTAGTTATTGAGATATTTCAGTCTGGACCACAGTGGTGGACTGACAGACCTCTGATGAATACTGACAGTTCTGACTGACTTAATGTTAAATTAACTGTTTTTTTAGGACAAGGTGAAAAGGAGAGTCGAAAGTTGGCAGGAAAGATGCAGAATACAAGGTGAACATAATGTGAAGGTGTGATAAATAAAAGATAATGGAGCAGCAGACCATCAAGGTGACTTTGTTGTGACAACAAGAAAGTGGAATTTCCCTGTCTTAATCAGTCTGATCTGACTTTCAGCACTGATAAGCTTAATCATTGACAACACATTTTATAAGAGTAGGGACTTTTAATAAAGGTTAAGAATATGTTGAACAAACGACTGTTTAAATAAAACCTTAAATGAAAAAAAAAAAAAGCCTAAGATGTACACCTCTCAGTGAGTGGCTAGATGGAGGCCATTAACAGTGTGAATATAGTGCATAATGGTGTTGTCTTCTCTTTCTGTGTCTCCTCCAGACTCCTGTTTTCCCTGTCAGCCCTTTTCTCCTGCACATTCATCATCTCGCTTGTGTTTTCCATCATACCGCTATGTAACCATGTGGTACTGCTGTCTGTTGCCATGGCAATTGCTGGCTTAGCCATGGGGGTGATTGACACCATTGCCAACCTCCAGCTGGTGAAGCTGTACCAGAAGGATTCCGCCACCTTCTTGCAGGTCAGAAGAGAAGAGGGAAGGAAGGGGTAGTGACAGCTGTAAATGTGTGTGTGTGTTTGTGGGTGTGTTCTGTACTGTTCAACAGGACGGATCTAAGGATGTCAGTGTGGATGTGCATGTTTACTGATACAAAAATATGTACTTATAAAATAACATATTACAGTTTTTTGGTTAATTAGACTTTATTTAAGCAATGTTACACTCAAGGGTGAGCTTTTCTGAAGTCAGCACAAGTGAGTGATTATACAACACTTACCAACAAAATCAAAGTTTTAATCAAAATGTATTAATCCTGTTGTGCAATCCGCTCTCAATATTAAAAAATAACAACTTTTGTTAGTGTGTGTAATGAAACCTATACTGTCTTAAATCGCATACTTCTGTACTTACACTTAATATTTTGAGTGCATAAGTGAGTTCACATTGAGAAGTATGGGAAAATGCAGTGCACCTGGATGGTGCACTCAAAACGGTCAAGAAGTTGAGTGTGGAACTATGGACACTTTTTGCCCTCAATGGTCGCCATTTTGGCTATGTAGCAGAAGGGGAAGGACCACTTTTCAAACTGGAAATAGCGGCCAAGGACTGTGCGACCATGAACGTCGCTGCATTGTACAAATGTAAGATATACATGTGTTTTTTGCACTAATCACCACTAAACTGTTGTCGGATATAAGCCACCAGTATGTTTATTGGGTTAATTTAGCAGTCTGTAATGATTTGGTACAGCAAACGATAACGCGAATGCTAATGCTAGTTTGCTAACTAGCTAACAGCTGCGGTTGTCATTTCCAGTAAGTGCACAACAGCAGTGTTTGGTTTGAGACAACACTACCCTGTCAAAATTCGTGCACTACGCCCAATAAGTACATAGTGCACATAGTATACTACATGGAAGTGTACTTATGGAAGTATGTGATTTGAGACACAGCACTAGTTTACTACTCCATCAAGTAGGCCAACCCTAATAACCTAGCAAAGCAAAGAAAGTTCGCTCCTTGGTATAACTCTCAAACCTGTAAGTTAAAACAAATATCGCGAAAATTTGAAAGGAATTGGCGATTAACCAAACTGGAAGAATCTCATTTAATCTGGGTAGACAGTCTTAAAACGTACAAGAGGGGCCTCCCCAATGCCAGAGCAAACTATTACTCAGCTTTAATAGAAGACAATAAGAACAACCCCAGGTTTCTTTTCAGCACTGTAGCCAGGCTGACTGAGAGTCACAGCTCTATTGAGCCTTGTATTCCTTCAGCCCTTAGCAGTAATGATTTTATGAGCTTTTTAATGACAAAATTCTAACTATTAGAGGCAAAATTCATGACCTCCTGTCCTCAGATAGTACCTATCTGCCCTCAAACACAGCTGTAAGACCTAATATATATTTAGATTGCTTCTCCCCGATTTCTCTTCAACAATTGACCGCAGTGATTTCTTCATCTAAATCATCGTGTCTCTTAGACCCCATCCCAACTAGGCTACTTAAGGAAGTCTTACCTTTAGTTAACACTCACTTATTAGACATGATCAATATATCTTTATTAACAGGCTATGTACCACAGTCCTTTAAGGTAGCTGTAATTAAACCTCTCCTAAAAAAGCCCACCCTGGATCCAGAGGTGTTAGCCAACTATAGACCAATATCTAATCTTCCCTTTCTGTCAAAGATCCTTGAGAAAGTAGTCGCAGACCAGCTGTGTGATTTTCTCCATGATAATAATTTATTTGAGGAATTTCAGTCAGGATTTAGAGTGCATCATAGCACTGAGAAAGCACTAGTTAAAATTACAAATGATCTTCTGATTGCTTCAGACAAAGGACTCGTCTCTGTACTTGTTTTATTAGATCTTAGTGTGGCTTTTGACACAATTGACCATCAAATTCTGCTACAGAGACTGGAACATTTAATTGGCCTAAAAGGTTCTGCACTAAGCTGGTTTAAATCTTATTTATCTGATCGTTTTCAGTTTGTTCATGTTCATGATGAATCATCCTTACATACTAAAGTTTGTTTTGGAGTTCCGCAAGGTTCTGTGCTTGGACCAATCCTATTTACTCTATATGCTTCCTTTAGGTAACATCATTAGAAATCACTCTGTAAATTTCCATTGTTATGCCGATGATACACAGTTTTATTACACGGCTCTATTAAATGCTGTATTCTGATTGGTCAGTCGCAGCATTCAGCGGTCTGATATTACTGTGTAATGACCGTTGCTAGTAGCAACGGTCATTACACTTGCTATGTAGCCCAGCGTTGCTAGGGACGCTGCCCTGCAACACTGCAGCTGTCAAACAACTTCAGAGGGAAAAAACAAACAGAAATGGCTGATTTTAACATTTCTTTTAACTTATTTGGAGAGTAGCCACAAGGATTTTGAGGAATTGGATGCTGCTGAAGAAAAAAAAATGGAGAAGGAAAGAAAAAAAATCAAGCGAAAAATGGCACAAGGAACTGATACCTGAAGAGCTTCAAGTGATAGAGGAGGAGAAAGATGAGATAAATACAAAAAAGACAACAAAATGGGCTACTGTACTATACTGTACTGTACTACTACAGGTACTGATGGACTTTCTCTGCCAAAAACAAAAGAACACGGATTTGAATACACACTCGGCAGTCATGCTTAATGACATTTTACACGAGTTTTATGCCTCGGTTCAGTCCACTAAGCCTGGGTGAGTACAAAACTAACCAAAAGTTGTCGAATCCGGTCGGTTTTAGTGCACTTCGCGGAGGCAGACAACATTATTTATTTAACTGAAAATTAGCCGTATAATAAGCGGGATAATGTATAATGAGCCGCGTTGGGGTTCTATTCCCCTGTCGGGAGTTATTTTCCCAGTATTCACCTGCTCATTATACATTATCCCTTACATAGTATACATATGTGACATAATCATTATGTGTATAATAACAGTAGAAGTATGACTAATGATAACAGTAGCAGGAGGCATAAAGCAGGACCATGGCAGCAGCACAACCACACAGGACAAACAATAAATGAAACAAATGAAATTCCACACATTCTTGTGGTTGGCTCAAACGCTGTCAGCGTGATTTAAATAGTAAATATTTAAATAGTTTATTGACTTTATTGCGGATGTTGATCAGTGTTTTTTACAACAAAAAATAGGTAAATAGGAAAAGAGAAAAAGAAAAAAATGACATGCATGGTTTTAAGTGTTCATTAAGGTTTCATACATGCCAGCACCCTAAACATTAAAACAAATATTTTACTATACACATTGTGAAGTGTTTCTAATTTCTGTCTGCTCCATACAGGTACAGTAAAATATTGAAATGTTTTTATTTGTTTGTTTATTTTGGACTGGCTTTTTAAAAATGCATGAGGCGAGGAGAGGTGAACAATATGAAGCAATGGAGGTTTTGTGCATTCCGATCCACATGCTACCATACTATATAGTATGCCAGGGAAAGATTTAGTGTGTCCCAATACATGGTATGTCAAAAATACCAGGATGTTCTACTACATGTGGTCGTATTTTGCAGTATGCAAGCCAGCATGCTTTTTTGGCTGTTCTGACCCACAATCCTCTGCACAGCGGACGCTGCGTCACATCAACTGTCACAAGTCCCAGTGATGGATGACAGCACATTCAGTTGACTGATGAGCAGTCGATTAGTAATAATAGGAATATTAATTGTTTAATTGAATAAAATAATCATAAATATAACCAACAACAAAAAGGGCACAAATATTAAATAATGAGCTGTATAGCCTCTGTAATTTTACTACCATGAATATAATATTTTAAAATTTACAGTGTATGCAGTTATTACTTATTGCAAAATAACAACATCAGAGCTCTTTGGATTGACCTCCATTTCTGGCAGGCTCAGTGAACGGTCTTTTGTTTTATCTCCATGGTAATGGATATATGTGTAAGAGGGTCAAAGTTTAGGCCGTAATGATATGAGACAGTGGTATGTCCTGACATGCATACTGCATGTGACAGTATGTACTTTGTATAGGCAGCTGCTAAAAGTAAAAAGAAAAAGTATGTGATTTGGAAGGCACCCCTTGTCTGTCTCATATTTGTGAACTTGATATCTCAAGAACGCCTTGAGGGAATTTCTTCAAATTTGGCACAAATGTTCAGTTAGACTCAGTAATAAACTGATTGGATTTCGGTGGTCAAAGGCCAAAGGTCAAGATCAGTGTGACCTTGCATCTGTCTCATTCTCGTGAACACAATATCTCAAGAACACCTCAAAGGAATTTCATTAAATTTGACACAAACGTCCACTTGGACTAAAGGATAAACTGATTTTGTAGTCGAAGGTCAAAGATCAAGGTCAGTGTGACTTCAAAGTATGTTTTTGGCCATAACTCAAGAATTCATATACTAATTGTGACAAAACTTTACACAAATGTCTAATAGGATGAAATTATGAAGTGATGACATTTTATATCCAAAAGGTCAAAGGTCAGCTTCACTGTGACATCATAATGTTCTGCATAAAACACTTCTCTGGCCATTATGCAGCATAATATCTCAGGAACAGAAGGGGAAATATTTGGTCAGATACTTAACTGGTGACGCTAATCATGGTGTCCTTGAAACTGTACTGATTGTATCGATGTTCTGTGCTGTAGGGGGGACAATGTGTGTGAAGCATCCATGTTTTCATAGACATGGATGTACAATGTAAGAGAAACTTGAATTCTAGTTTTGAGCCATAAGTAACCCTATCTGGATGAGAGGGTGGACCTGTGGAGGCGTGAGGGGTGAATCTGACTTAGAGACTGTAGTGACGCTTTGCAGACAGCCTGTAACTCAAAGAGGTGCCACCCTTAAATATGCATAACTTTAAGCCTTGATAAAAATGTAAAGTTATATAAAAATTCAGCCCCATGCTGTTTTCATGAATGGGGAAATTAGCTATAGAGACCAAAATTATTTTTTGTCATTCAAGGAACTGCAGTTTTAGGCATATGCATTGGCTTCATTTTTCATTACCAGAAGTTGATACTTGGCTATCTGTGGAAAAAATCATTTTGTCCTTGGACACCTGTAATGTCTACAACATATCAAATTCTGCTTTTGCATTCCAAGGCTACTAGGAAGCAGCAGGGATAAGGAGCTGGCCATTGGTTTGTTTTTTCCCTGTCCTGCTGATCGGCACATTTGGGTGATATTAGCGCATGTTGAATATGTTTCCATTCACTTCCCCTACAACTGCAGAGCAACGCCGGCACACTAAACTATAGGGACACCAAATTGCCAAAAGATGAATTCTTGCATGATGTTGGTATAATATACTAACTTTATTTAATATAATATTAATTTATGCCACCACTTTTGGTAAACTGAAATAAAGGGTTTATATTGAAATAGTTGTAATTCCAGCATGGTTTATCCAATATTGCTGTCAGTACCCTTATAATTAAAGCTGAATATCTGGACTGAAAGAACACACTAATTGTTTTATTTCAAATCCATTGTGGTGGTATACAGAGCCAAAATAACAGAAACAATGTTACTGTCCAAATATAGTATATTAATAAGGGGATCAATGTCCATGTCTGGCTCTAGGCCTTGCATTTCTTCATAGGCCTCGGAGCACTGGTCAGTCCCCTGGTGGCTGATCCCTTCCTGGCAGATGATAACTGTGTCCTGGGTGCCAACTGGACCGCCAACTCCTCCTCTTCCTCTGACCTAGAGCACCTTCGCAGCAGCCTGGCTGGGCATGGAGGGCTACCCAACATCTCCCGGTATCCTCTGCACACTGAGGGTGTGGTCATGACGAGGGTGTCGTATGCTTTCTGGATTATGGCTGTTATTAATGTGAGTTCATGTCAATATTACGTGAGTCATATGATTCATGAAATGTATACAATGCATACTAGTATAAGCTATCTATTTAGTACATAAGCTCAAATGTATATTACTTTTGAAAGGCTAAATGACAGTGATTCTTGTAGCTGCTGGTTGGCAGGCTAAATGTGAAACCAAGTGTAGCTGTGATTTGATTAAGACAGAGGTCTCCAACATTTTGTTAGCTAATGTTAGCTAACTAGTTCACCTTTGGTAACTAACCTTTGGAGAGACCAGTATGTAATCAACTATAGGAATGCTCTTTCCTACTTTTCTGTCCATCTAACCTTAACCCTTCTGCTTCCACTCGGAAACCCCCAGACGGCACTGTCACTTTCACTCATAGTTTCAAGTATGTGCATCAAGGGATTGTAACATCTAGTCCTAAACTGAATTGAACTTTCTATACTGAGGTCTCCCTATGGAACAACCTGCCCATGCATATTAAACACCATTAAAAGCCAAACAAAGGCAATTTTTATAAACAAAAGTTAAGGAGGAGTTGTTGGGAGGGTTGATGCTTCTCCTTTGAGGGAGGTCATTTTAACCATGGGTGTGGAGTTACAAGGGGATGAGTAGGTTTATGATATAATTTGTGTGTTTGCAATTATGTGTATGTTCTTATGTAAAGTTTCGCTGTCACCACCGAGGACCACTTTGGAAAAAGTGTTTTTAGTAATGCTTTAAGTGCTACCCTCTATGTTTTTCTCTCACCCATTGTGCTTTTAAAATTCCTTTTAAAAATCAAATCAAAACTAGTTCACTTCACTGTTATTGATAAGTGATGCACAATAATTTAGCGTTAGCTAGCTCACATGATTGCACAACAGTAACTAGGTGATGCCCTTGCAGTAACACAAAAGACCCCCTATTGAGGTCACGAACTGTCTGCTGAAGACTCTTGGTCTAAGAGTAAAGTTTACTCATGACATGCAGTATCCTGTAATAAAGTCAGGAGTCTTTACCACTGAGCAACGTTAGTGTTTCTCTGTCCAGTTGCTTCCATGTGTGACAGCCACGTCACTAAAAAGAGAACAAACATTTACTAAGTGATTTTCCATCATCAGTCTGTCATGTGTGCCATCATAAGCTGTGGCCAAAAAGCTTTAGGTCCTCTTACAAACAGGATGTGTTGTCATGACATATACTTAATAATACAATCAAACAAGTCTATTTTTTTCATGGTAATACTGAAAAGCAAAGTGTATAATTTAATTTAAACATGACATGTATAATTAGTTGGTTATACAGATGGACCTGTAGGCCTACACCAAAAAACAGAACTCTGCAACACTGATGCCCCTTCTCTCTGGCGGGCCTTTCGTTTTGGGGCATAGTCATAGAATTTAGGTATCCCATGACCATATTTCCCCCAATGTTGCACAACTACATGTGAAAATGACCATAATGGAAGTTAATGATGTAAAGAACTTTTTAAACAGTGTTGCTGCTCTTCAAAGCCACTCAGATTAATGTCTCTGATTTCAGTTGTGTTCTTCTTATTAGCTATAAGCCAGGATATTGCCTCTCATGTAAAGTGATAAGCTTCCACCTCAGTGGAAATATCATTTTCCAAATATCATTTTTTATTTGAACTAGATCTTTTTTTTTGATGCAGAGGACAAGATAAGAAAGCATGGATTCTACTTTTATGAGAGGAGGAATCAGCTGACAGGAAGTATTGACTGTTAACTTAGTTAACTTAGTTAACAATAACTTCTTTGTGTGTGTGTGTCCTGGAAGCTTCCAGTGCCAGCAGCGGTGCTTGCTTTGATGTACCATGAGAGACTGCTCCCTTGCTCCAACAACAGTCCACGTCTGCTTGACAGAGACTCTGTTTCCAGTGCGAGCCCCACTTGGGACAGTGGTCAAGGTAATGCACTTGTGTACTTGTGACCACTATATTCAAAAGCAGTGACAGACTTCAGTATCTCTCTCTCCAGGTCATGGGAGTGTGTTTGGTTGCTGTAATCATGCCAAACTCCGAGGACGCCCTGCTACTTTCTTCCTCCTCCATGTTCTGGGTGGAGCCATCCTCTTCATCACTGATGGGATTGTAGTGAGACTACCTGCTGACACTACACACACAAACATCAAACACAACACTCAAAACCAGGGCGGGTGGATGAAGGGTGACACGTAAGACAAAGATACTCATGTATACAGTCAATCGGACCCAAACTGCCTGAGGGGCTCTGTGCAGGCCCTACAATTTCCACTCTGGGCTTTGGCCTGGAAGTAGAATAGCATTAGATGTGTAACAGCTAAGAGAAGAAAAATAAAAAGCAAAGTGTACAGCACTTATGAACTGTACAAAGCTGTAAAGTTGTCCACCATGGTACCAGTTTGCTGCTAGCTAACTGTAGATAACTTGTGTTTCGATTGGTCTGTGATATAATAGGTCAATCAGAGAAAGGTCCAATACTAACAAGCTGAAAGGGGGCATATCACCACTTATCATAGTGGAGTCAGATATACTTTGGTCAATAAATCGATTCCCCTCCTGTGCTTGTATACTGGGACAAGGACAGTAGTCCAATTAAATGGCCCTGTCGAGCTATAACTGTAGTTCCACTTAACTGTGCATGTAAACGTACCGAGTGTTTTTTAAGTTTCCTTCAGTATCAAAGTAAACAAGGGGTAGTTGTCCGTACATCCATAGCTACATTGCAAACAGGAACTGCTATATGCTAATTTGATGTGCCAAAATTTAAACAAATTAAGGCTAAGTAACATACATTGTTGCCCACAGCAAACTCACTGAATCCATGGCAACATTATACTTTGTTAGCATTGTGGGGTCTGTAGTTCCAAAATGTAAATTATGTACCAACTCGAAGGAAGACAAAGTATTGATATTTTTTCATGTTGTTTTAAGTCTTCTATTAAGGAGGGGGATGAGAGGTAGGAGCTACATTGTCAGACTGTAAAATCTCTGTGCAGTGTTGACCCCTGCTGTGTTTGTTTTACTGTAGGGCTCCTACACTGGCTTTGTCTACACCTATGCAGTATCCCCTCCTTTGCTGATGGGCCATAAGACTGCCGGCTATCTGGACAGTATATTCTGGGCCTCCATCACAGTAGGAAGACTGGCTTTCATCTACCTGTCCTACAGATACACAGCACCCAGGCTGCTCACGCTCAGTCTGGTATGAACATACATTTGGGAGACAAATTCTCTGTATAGTCAATAAAGTTGTTGATACCACAGTGCAGTGAGATTAGAGCTCAACAGGTGAGCATCAGGTTTTTTTCCCACATTAATTTGTGTGTCGCACTGAGTAGTAATTTCTTGTAAAAGGAATAGAGGTCATGCACAGCTGTTGTATGATAGTTCTAACCAAATATTTGAACTGGGTGGGAAAGCACCCAGTGAGGAGATGAGGAGTTATACAAACAAAAGGTTCTTTAAGCCAAAGTGAACAGCTTTGTTAACACTTGATTTAGGTTCTGTAAGGACAACTGAATATCATTATCTGCCGAATTTCTCTTTGTCTTTGAATACATTTAAAAATATATGCAGTGGTAAGGGCCTTATGTCTGTGTTGTACCAGCAACAACTGTTGCAGAGCTGTGCACTCTAATGGTATGAAAGGTGAATTGTACCCTGGGATGATGAAATAGCCATGGGCAATTATACTGCAACTGTTTGCTTTGAGATTTTTCCTGTTTTTCTTTAGTTGGGGTCAAATAGATTTAGAGCTGTACTGAGCTGCAAACCACAACTTTTGAGAAAATTAATCAGTGATTATTGAGAAAATTATTCTCAATAATCACTGAAAATTATTTGAGAAAATTAATCAGTGTTTAATTAGGCTAAAGATCTTCTGGTTCCTGGTCCCATTCTGTATGTTTGCAGCAGTTTTTAGACTGTCCTCTGGGAACACTAGTTAGAGCTGATGACTCATAGCAGTTTGATTGGGGCCTCTTTACAATGAATGTCCTACATGGGTTTCATAGTTGATGTCTGATTGGGTCATCTCTATGTTGAGTTTCCATTTGTGTGTGACTTGTTTTGTTTTTCCAACTGAGGGCAAACCCGGGAAAGAACCAGGGACCTTTAGATCTTCAGTCTAATGCTCTCTCAACTAAACTTTTTCGGCTCCAAAGCCCTTGGTATGGTGGCCCTCAGATGTAAAAACAAAACAAAGGTGCAAAAAAATGGAAACTCAACACAGAGAGGACTATGACAGCTATGACATCAACTATGAAACCTGTGTAGGTCATTTAATGTAAAAATGCCTCAATCAAACTGCTAAGACACTGTGTGTTCGCAGAAGACAGCCAACTGCTGCAAACATCCAGAATGGAATCAGAAGGACCTTCAGAACTCCACTTTCATTGATCCATTCATCATTCATCCGTTTTAATCATTGTGGAACATAATTGTTGGTATATTTTTATTGCCCAGTTCTAGGTGTGTTGCAGCTTTGTACCCTTGGAAAATGAGATGAAAATGGTCAGTTTTCTTTACTTTTTTGTTGTTGTTGTTGTTGTTGTTATTTTTCTTTAAATTTTTTATGTGTTGTTCATTAGTTGGGGTCAGATAGATAGATTGAGAGCTGTACTGAAGCTCTAATGAGTACGGTGGCTCTGAGTTGCAAACCACAACATCTGAGAAAAAAATGAATGAAACTCAAAACATTTCAGAGGGCATTTTTTAGAAGTCAGAAGAGTTAGGTAACTACTGTCTGTGTCATCGTAATACCATGTCGACAATGTCACTCGCAGACTGCCTGAGAAAGTAGAAAGATGTACAAAATTTGCTGATTTTTTTTTCTGTGGGTGCAGATCCTGAATGGTTGTTTTAGTATTTACTTTTAACAAAAGGACATATCCAAGAAAAACAACAAAGCAAAGCCTACAGTGTTGTTTTGTTTTTTCATCTGAGGACCACCATACCATGGGCTTTTGAGCCGAAATAGCTTGGCTGGGACACTGTTAGACTGAAGATCTAAAGGTCCCTCGTTCAGCAGAGGAGCTGTGTTTTAGGGACACATTGCCTTGATGATTGGAGTTTGATTTGGGGCCTCTTACTTCCTCCACGTGTTGATATAGGTGTTGTGTAGGAGTGTTGCACTTTTGTACCTTTGAATGATGAAATGCATGGGTTTTTCTTTTGTTGGGGTCTATTGAGTATGGCAGACCTCAGCTGCAAATATATATGTGCATATACTTGTATTTATATCCATATCAGTTACTTATTTCAGTATTTATTTATACATGTATTTATTGAAACTTAAGTCGTTTTTTATCCTCTATATACAACAGCCCCCTAACTGTTTGTGTAAAGTTTTTTAGTGAAATGTCTGTGTCACAGGGCCACCACACTATGGACTTTTGTGCCAAAATAGCTTTTTTCTGTTTCCTTCATGTGTTACTAGGTTTCCTACAACTCACTTTAAAAATTAGTGTTTCTTATGTCAGGTAGGCAGATGGCTGCAACAATAGTGTCATGAAAACTTTATCTCTGAAATGCAAAAGACAACAGTTAAAAATACTCTTTTCTTTTAAGAAAACAGCATTTTAAACATTATGTTTCATTGAAATCTGGATGATGATAGTGTCGTTTTCAGGTTGAGAAAGTAAAAATTAGGCCAAGATTTGTTAACTTTTGGTTCACAACAGGTAACAGGCTTCCCTCAAGTTATGGTCATTCTCTCACTGTCACTGTGTGTTTCTTCCAGGTGGGGGTCATACTGGTGCAGTGCCTGTTGTTGATCTTCTACACCAGCTGTGTGTTTCTCTTTATCGGTACTTGCGTGTTGGGACTGTGCATCAGCAGTGTGTTCCCATCCATGCTGGCCTTTACAGAGGACATACTAGACTACAAAGGTAAACTACCACACAGTCAAAGTGCAGGCAGCAAGGGAAGAAGCCAAATGCAGACAAAACAGAAAGAGGCAGGATTAATTCAGTGATTTTAATGAACATGGCTTATAGGAAGAGTCCAAATGGCAAGTAGGTTAACAGGTAACAACACTTCATAGCGTATGTGGAGACTCCTCTATCATCTGTCCTCGATCACTTGACCCAGAAATCAATTGACACCCACCATCTTGAAGGATTTCTCAAGTGCGCTCGGAGGAGTCCAGGAGTCCAGGAGAGAGCAGGCTTTTCAAGGAGAGGGAAGCATGGATGCACTAGTGCAGCCTTCATGGAAGTCTTTTATTGACTGACATACCCCCCTGAATGGATATCAGTTATTGATCGGACAGTGCAGCGCTGCAGCTGATACATCACAACATCACTGGAGTTTCATACTGGAGTAAAGACAGATAATAGATTAAACTCAAGTGTATCACTCCCAAGTTTTATATTGCATTTGTTCTCTAATTCGCCATCTAGTTAAAAATCTGAACAACAAAAGGACCACAAATATTCTTCATTTATAAGAAATTTTTTTCTCTTCATATTCTGTTATGTCTCTCTGCAACAAAAACTTTCTGGTTTCTGGTTTCTGGTTGATGAGTTACAGAATTTCAATTTTGTTTTAATAAAGCCCATAAAGCCTACTGATAGCTGATCCAGTTTACATGACAAACACATCAAATACATGCAGAGGACCAACCAGCCCCTCCAGGATGTTGTGATGTTGCAGTCGTAACAATTAGCACAACATCAGCCAATCCCCATGAATTCAGACCTTGCAATTTTGTCAAATCACTGCACCTCTACCACAAATTTGACTATTTCACTATGGACCCTTTTAGGACTGACATCATGATGATGCCATTTTATAAGCTGGAGGCATAACAGGACTCACCACCATGGGGGTGTAGGCTACACAGACACATTCCATCTTGCTGTGTTACTGAGTGCCAGAAAATGAGGAGTCATGGCACAAGACCTAAATTTTATCGTACACCGGCCACCACTGCCCATTAACAAAAACAAAGACGACTAGGGTTAAATGCGGTAAGATGAAAGGACTGGGCGATAATCAGAAATGCTCGGATGTGCAGCGCACACTTCATATGAAGTAAGGGAAAAAGTATTGACTGTTGCAGGCATGAATAACATTATATGAAAAGGTTATCATGTCGACATATTCAGAAGTTGGGATGGTATTAAGAGGAATGTTGGATTTCTCCGTAATGCTGACTTTTTAGCACAATAGCTAATGCTTGTTCGATAGCAAAACAAACTCGAGGAAACCATTCAAGTGTCCTTGTCTTTTGTAAGATTGGCATAGTAATCAACCACAAAGCTAACCATCCCACCTTCAGCAATCCGGACAAATCATCCATCCACTGAGTGAGAGCATAAGGGTCGGCCAGTCTGGTCCCCCTTTTTTGTGTTTACTTATTCAAGTGACACTGGCGGTCCTGGAAAGTGAATGACCGACATGGTGCGTTTGTAAATTCAGTTTGACACTACTCTACACAAAAATAAGGGGCCCTGTTGGTCGAAGAAATGGTGCATTATATTTCTGTATGAGTTAACAAACACATTCACCCCCCTCAGCACGCTGCAGCTCCGGCTCCACAGACAGAGTGCCCAGAGTGCACTCTGCCTTTCCAAGAGTGTGGTGCTTTGAAAATCCAAACAGTACATTCCCACAGCACTCTGAATTTATGATTGGTCCAGTTTGTGCTAGAGTCCGCTCCGGCACTCAGAATGAATATTTTCGAATGCGCTCTATTCAAAGACACTTGTATCATCTTCCTCCATTGTCGAAAACAAGCCAATAGAACTTGTTAGGTAGCACTATGTAACGGATGTGTCTGTCCTGTGGCATTCTCATATCTGGCCGGATGCATACCTTAACTTCTGTATGATCTGCGTTGTGTTCTGTGGCTGTGCTGATTGAAGGAAGAACCCAGACCATAAATTGCTACTGCTTGCTCCTTTAATGTTCTCTGTATGGTGGTTATACCTATGTACAAGTTAATAATAAAAAAAGAACAGCTCTGTAATATGCAGTCTGTTCCATAGACACAAATCATCAGTCCCCTCCTTTCAGTTTGTGTAGTGCGGACTGCTGTATAGCCTCACACTTTGCATACTTCACATGATTAAAATACTGTAACTCCAACATCAAATGTACTTTTGAACAACAATGTGAGTGCTCAATGCATTTTATTACATATAAGCTCTAAACACATTACATACAGTATAAATGTGAACAGACAGAATGCACATACCTGTACACGTTAATGACAAAAAAAACAAAAGAACAGCTTTGTAACATGCAGTCTCTTTCACAGACACAAATCATCAGTCCCCAATTAGCAGATAAACACAGAAAACCTTGGAGCACTAGGAAACATGTGTCAACTATAAAACTAGCAAAAGTGCATTTACCAAATTTATACTCAAATGAAACAGCTGCTGCATGTTCACAATCCTAAAACTGACATTTATAATTACAAAATGTCACATTTACATTTTCTGTGGAGCAAAATAAATGCTTAACTCTGACCAGGAAAATAATGCAGACCTCCTCTTAGTTAGTGCAGCGCAGACTGAGAGTGGCGCTGCTGTGACATCAAAAACAGCAGTTTCAGTCGATGTGAGATTGCTGAGACTGTTTAAAGCAGGGTTGTCAAACTCATTTTAGTTCACGTGCCACATACAGTCCGATTTTCTCAGTTTTTCCACATTCAGTCAGTCTACTTCTCACAGTCATTCTCTGTGAAAGTGTAAAAAATGTTTATAATCAATTATCACAGTGGCTTAATGATAACATTGTTTTTTTTATCAGCTTTGTTTCAGATGTAACTTTTCCACAACTGCTACTCTCTTAAAATTTACAATTGATGTTTTCTCTGCATCTGATTGCGGTCATCTCACAGAAGCAATAATTGTTAATCTCACCAAAGCTTTTGATCTGGTTGGTCACTGTCTTCTTTTAGATGGGCATCATGCTGTTGTTCTTTCCCAACATCCATCACTGTGGTTTGATTTGTATCTTCACTACACCCTGCAGAGTGGTGTGCATCAAGGCTCTACTATAGGACCACTTTTTTTCTCCTTTTTCATCAATGACCTCTCACTCTTTTTTTCTAATTGTTGTGCACAACTATATGCAGATGATACTATTATATATACATCAAAAGCCTCTAAATTTAGGAGGACCTACAATCTGCTTTCAATATGCTACAAACCTGGTTGTCAGCTAACAAACTACTGTTCAGTAAAGTAAAAACGTGTTCAGTGCTTATTGATGTGAGGAAGAACTGCAACTCCTAATCAAACTATTCAGTTTTTTAATTTGTATTAACGATTGATGTCTTCAAAAAGTAGAACAAATTAAATATCTTGGTGTGTGGATTGACTCTGAACTTGCCTCTAAACCACACATTGATCAAGTCATGAAAAAAGTGCATTTTAGTCTTAGTGTTCTGTATCACTCAAGACACTGTTTTACATTTAATGTCAGAAAGAAACTTGCTCCACAACTTGTACTATCTTCAGTATAATGGACTATGCTGACATTGTTTATCAGAATGCTTTTAAAACGTATCTCTGTCCAGTCTGTATTATAGACTCTGCAGATTCATACTGGGTTATTCTTTTTTTTTTTTACGCACAATTGTATAATGTTAGACACACAGGTGGCTTTCTCTTGACATAAGACTTTAATTTCACTGGTATCTAAATATTTTTAAATGTACTGACTTTATCTATTCCTATTGTCCAAAACAAATTTTTGTACTTAATTTGTCAAACTATTCACAAAGGCACTCTGGTCAGATTCTCTTTACAGTCCACTTTGTATCTAAAAAAGAGTTGAAAAAAAGCTGTTCTGTTTTGAGCTCCTTCTGATTGAAATAAGTTACCATATAATATCTGTTTTCTGTCATCATCTCATTTATTAAAAAGCAATTTGTTTTCTTATCTTAAAAGGGATTGCTAATGTTTTCAGTAAAGTCATCAGTGCTCCCTTCTCTATTTACAGAGTGATCATTGTTTTTTTGATTTTGTCTAGTCTAAGCTTACACCCTTTTCTTTTAGCTAGTCAGGTCATTGTTGTGTCATTTAATACTGTACCTTGTAGCTACTGTTTGTTTTTTACATTTATATTGTGAGTGTTTGTTTGGGACCCCATTGAAAACAAGATAATACATCTCAAGGGGTCTCTCTTTCTGTCTCATTAGGCCCGTTTCCACTGAAGAAGTTCCTGGTACTATTTGGGGAACAGGAACTACTACAGGAACGTCCTCTTGCTCGGCCCTCTCAACCGCCGTGTCTCCACTGAGAGAGCGGAGTAGGAGGAAGGTTCCTGTAAAGTTACCGGGCTCTGGATGTGACGTAATCATTGCGCGACCATTTTGACCGGGGTGGCGTAGGTACGTAGGGACACCGTTAGCTGTTAGCCCTTAGTGGTGTCTGTAATACTCAGTAACTCAATAAACGGTCCGTGAATTTTTATTTTTTTTTCCAGCGGATGTCTTAGTTACAACATGATTGAGCTAACTGGAGTAGTTTCACGTCGTATCCGACAACGGGAGGCTTTTAACAGATGACGTCCTGATGTTAGCTTTGCTGCTGTTATGAACTGTCCCTGTCAGCTGCAGCCACTACTGATGCTTTCTAGACATCGTGATTTCCCAAAACTGAATAAATACCACACATAGCAACATAAAACTGCTTTGCTAGCTCAATCATGTTGTAACTAAGATATCCACTGGAAAAAAAAAAATTCACGGATTGTTTATTGATTTACTGAAGCTATGAACGAGCTAACCCTCGTCTACTGAGTTTTAAAAATGCCGGCTATTTTGCCGCTTTCTGTTGACGTTACATCCCGTCTTGAGTATATCCAATCAGCACCAAGTAATCCCCAAGCCCTAGCCAGGAGTTTCTCAGGGCCGTTCTGAGTACCTACTCCCAGGCAGGGACTTGTTTAGCCCCTGTAAAAGTTCCGTAACTCTGTCCTTTGGGGGTGGTTCCTGCGGTGGAGGCACGCACCAACGGCCTGGCCCCGTAAAATTACCCCAAGGTTCCTGCGGTGGAAACGGGCCTATTGTGTCATACTGATTACTGTTAATTTATTATGTTGATCTGTTCTGTACGACATCTATTGCACGTCTGTCCGTCCTGGAAGAGGGATCCCTCCTCAGTTGCTCTTCCTGAGGTTTCTTTTTTCAAATTTGCCACAAATGTCTCCTTGGACTCAAAGATTAACTGATTAGATTTTATTGTTTCAAAGTCAAGGTCACTGTGACCTTGCATCCATCTCATTCTCAAATTTGGTTCAAACATTCACTTGGACTCAACAATGAACTGATTAGAATTTGGTGGTTGTAGGCTAATGTCACTGTGACCTCACAAAACATGTTTTATGGCAAAACTTCACACAGATGTCTAATATGATAAAATAATGAAGTGGTGTCATTTTATATCCAGTCCAACAGGTCAAAGGTCATCTTCACTGTGACATCATTATGTTATGCAAGAACACTTTTCTGGCCATTATTTCACGTCATATCTCAGGAACAGAAGGGGAGACATTTGGTCAGATACTGAATTGGTGACATTAATATTGGGTGTCCACCTTAAAACTGTGCTGATTGTATAGATTTTCTGTGCTGCTGGGGGAAAGATGTGTGTGAAGCATCCATGTTTTCATTGACATGGATGTAAACTTTAAAAGAAACTTGACTGGTTTGCCGAGGCATACCAGTATTAATAAATGAAATAATAAACACATTTAAAAGCTGAAACAAATATGTGAATAAAGAATTAAATACATAGATAAATAAATGTTGTTGATTAATTAGGAAATAAACAAAATAAATGTTTATTTGTATATTTCTACAAATCTACATCTATCAGTCCTGGGTGGCAGTAGAGGAGGTTTGACCAGCATCTGCTTCAAAAGTAGTTTAGCTGACTTCATTCTTTATACTGGAGCTGAGAGCGTTGGAGCAGACTTCATTTCCATTGTTGAGTCAAAAAGTTGTCTTCTCAACTGATGACTCATATCATCAACTTTTCTGGAACAGTCCTTGTATATTTATTTATTGATGAATAAGTCATTATGAGTCCTCCATGAGGTAGATGATTTCTGTTTATTTCCTGTCTGCTAAAGGTTGTGCCACAACAGTTCTGGTGACCAGTGCCAGCACAGGAGAGATGATGCTGCAGCTACTCGTTGGATTAGTAAGGCATTTTTACTTTGTGTCCTTTCTTCTTGAATATCATTTTATTTACAATAATGATAACATTTAATCCAGTGCTCCCACATTCAGTGTTTTTACATGACTTTCATCAGGGTTATTTCTGCATATTGCTTGTTTCTTTTGACACATTAATATTTCCTTTACAGTACTGTATGCTTAGTTGCTTGCATTATTGTTTACAACGATCAGTGTGTGTGTGTGTGTGTGTGTGTGTGTGTGTGTGTCTTCCTACAGGTGATCCACAGTCAGGGGAGTTACTCTTTCCTGTTGTGTTGTACAGTAGCCTCATTCATTGGCTTCTGTCTGTTCCTGATTCTCCTCTATGTCCAGCATAGACACAGAAACTGCCCCACAGGTAAACACACACATCAGGTTGACACGAATGGAGAGAGTGAATGAAATTCCAATATCACTCTGGATTTAATTTGGGGAAAAAAGTCATTACAGCTTTCAGAAAAGGGCTGTGCAGATATTTCTGTTAGAAACACTGATGTCAGATAGCAGCCTGTTGCTATGTGACAATTTATGCAATGTGACTTAATTTCACTTGGAAATAAAGACTGTCCAAGGTGCATACTAACAGAACAGTCACCAAAGCAGGTGGAGGAGAGGTGATACTGTTCATTGCCTGGAAAAGCAAGTATATATATATATATATGTATACACACACACACACACACACACATATATATATATATATATATATATACATATGTCTCCCTGCAAAACTTTAAAAAGACTTGGACCCCATTTCTGGAGTATTATAACAGTGGCAGTGTTTTGCAGTTTTTGTTGCTAAGTCAAGTGAAGGGTCCAAAGAAAATATAATTAATGTGAAATATAAGGTTCCGCACTCCTCCTCACCCCAGTAATTTTTCATACAGTCTCTAATTTAGAATAATAGATCAGATATTTACTTCTTATCCAAGTACTGCTTTGTTTTTCAGCAGGTGTTCATGCATACAGGTAGCATGACAAGCTTGAGAGCTACCATGTGTTGACACTGTAAATGCATTTTATTATACCAACAGTCAATATAGCAAAAAGCCACAATGTGTTGCTAGATCAGGATGTTAATATTTTATGTAAATATTACTTCTGTTTCACTTGTTGTGTTGGCTTCCATCAAAAGCCTGCTGAATGTCACGCCTCCTTTATCTCTCTGCTGAGTCAAACTAATCATCACAGGATAATAGCTCTTCCTGGACTGGTCCCAATATTGTCCAATTAGTCCTCTCCCAGTGCTGAGTAAAATAGTAATGGGCGAAAATGTATATGTTCAAATCCAAGATTATTTTTCAATTTGAGTACAAGCTGCCAGCATGCATACAGAAAGGAGCATGCAATCAGCACAGCAATAGCCCAAGTGACTGATGACTAGTTAAAGACCATGGGTGACAGGAGGCTGGTGGTTGTGGTGATGTTGGATTTAAGTACTGCATTTGACGTTATTTAGTCATCAGCAGCCAAAAAAAGATCCTAAAAATTCTTTACCAATTAAGTTAGTAAAATAAATACATTAAAGAGACAAAACATTATAAGAGTATTTAATGCAAATAACTGTATAAATGAACAGAAAATGATATTATGTAAATGATGAAATCTTGCTGGCAGATTTTTGTTTGTATTGTCTAATATTTGATAAAGAATTTTTATGCCTCTGTGCTGGCGATTGCCGTGGCCAGAGGCATTATGTTTTCGGGTTGTCCGCAAATGTACATCAATCCCATGCTCGTGAACATGATATCTAAAGAATTCATTGAAGGAATCTCTTCAGATATTACACAAACATCCACCTGAACTCAAGATTGAAATGATTAGATTTTGGTGGACAAAGGTCAAGGTCACAGTGACCTTCTCTGTCACATTCTTGTGAACGTGATATCTTAGGAGCAACTTGAGGAGATTTTTTTTATAATTTGCACAAACGTCCTCTTGAAGTTAAGAATGAACTGATAAGCATTTGGGGGTCAAAGATCACTATGACCCCGTGTCTGTCACTGTTCATTTAGTTGATGAAAACAATGACAAAAAATTGTCGTCACCGACCTTTTTTCCATGACGAAAATGACGAGTTAAAATATATCTTGATAATAAAAACTAAGACAAAAACTATGTTTCATTTTTGTTGATGAGACGTGATGAAAATGTTAATAGGGGACCACCAGGCATGTAAAGTAGACAACGTCTGTAATTATCTTCAAATGCTGCATGAGTGACAGGCTGGTAGTCCAGCCAGTAAATAGTCCAGTCCAGTCCAGTAAATAGTCTGTGCCAGAATGTTTTGCTATCCAGCAAAAACACTCACACTGGAGCAGCATAATTCATCAGTAAATAATCAGCCATGTGTGTCTGACTGTGGATGGTGGAGCTGTGAATGGATTTGTCAAGTTTGTTAGCTGCAGCGGTGGCTGTTAGCAATTAGCTCTGCTTGTTATCCGTTGAATGGCAGCAGAGCAAGCAGCCACTGGTTGCCAGACTTGTAGTGTCAAAGTTTTTGAGAGCATAAATAGAGAGAGATGATCAGTAAGTGTGTGCTCGTAAATCACCCCTTAAACCTCTCAAAAACTGCTAGAGAAATCACAGTTTGTAAATGTGTAGAAATTGCTTGTAGTTGTAGAAAAATTAATATTAATATAATATATCTGAATAATATTTTTTATACAGCCTGTCACCTTCATTCTAATTTCTGATATATGAACTAGCCCAACTGGATTAGTTTAAAGATTAAAAACATATAGAAAACATAATGTCTAAAAGTTGACTAAAATGTCATGAATTGTCATCAACTAACATTAACACTGGTGTCAGTCTCTTTCTCGTAAACCGGATACCTCAGGGAATATCCTGAAATATGACACAAACCTCCACTTGGACTCAGGAATTGATTAGAATTTGGTGGACAAATGTCAAAGGTCAGTGTGACCTCACAAAACATGTTTTTTGGCAATAACTCAAGAATTCATATGCTAATTATGACAAAATTTCACACAAATGTCTAATAGGATAAAATGATACAGTACTGACATTTTATATACAAAAGGTTAAAAGTCAACTTCAGTGTAACTTCATAATATTCTTCAGTTATTAACCTTGGGTGTCCACCCTGAAACTTTGCTGTGATCTTCTGTGCTGCTGGGGAGAGGATGTGTGAGAGGCATTAATGTTTTATAGCTCTGGAGCAACATCCATATTTGATGCATTGTCGACTATTATGGCTACATATGAGTCTGGACAGACATGGATTTAAACTGTACTACAACTTGACAAATACGAGGTGGTATTTTTATTTTTTGCATGTAATGTGATGTTTGAATGTACATAACTGTTTGTTAAACTGTGTGATTTATATGTTGGACCCGAGGATAACTTGCTGACATCAGGGTGTTAGCTAACCCTGATCCTAATAATCTAACTAAACACTTTTTTTCTCAGATTCCTCTGACAACACAGACATGAAAGAGAAGCCAAAGACTGGAGCTTCATGATCTGTGGGTTTCCGACAGACTAAGGGGGAGGCCAGAGGACAGAAACGACCAAGTGCCTTTGCTCTGGATGATAGAAAGGGAGAATGGGAGGAACCATTTCTGGCATTCGCATCATATGGCAGTCTCAGAACAGGAGCTTTATCCTGTCCTCCCCCAACTGAACATTGCTGACCTGAAGAGAAATCTACTTTCAAGCCTAGTGATCAACTAAAAGCTCAAGGGATGACCAATACTTGACTTAATTTCTGTTTTGACAGAATCATCTCTAGCACTGTCTTTGTTTTCAAAGACACTTAAATGATTAAGTATTGCCTTTCAAGTATGCATGTGAAAGCACTTGTATGATTTATTATGTCAAAATTGCTTGGATGGCCTTAAATGTTTTAACCTTTGATGAGAGTAAAACTTAAGTCCTGATATTTTGACCCAGTGTCACCTGTGATGCCCTTTATATGAACCTGTCTTTCCTGGAACCAGGTAAAACCCTCTGTGAAAAATCGGGATGTGATAATGGGCAGTGATTTGAAGTTGAACAAACAAATAAACTCAGTGATCAGATCTATCTTTTTCCAGCTGAGGCTCGTATCTAAGCTCAAGTCATTTTATCATTTAGTGATTTTGAAAGGGTTATTCATGGTTTTACCTCGACCCAAACTTGACCACTGTAATTCGGGGTGAAACCTTCTGGTTGGTTAGATGATTGGATCATCGATATGCTCTTGTCTAACCAAATACTTAATTACAGTCACTGGTGTTACTTTCATAAGGCCATGTTTCCACCAAAGCTGAAAATGCCAGGTACTCAGCTGGATCCTCCAGAGCGCTCTGGAAGTGCAGCATCAGCTGAGAAGATTACGGGCTGTTTCACATGTAAGAAGGACATGACTTTTCAAGTGAACTGAGAGACGCTTGACTGAACTTGAAGAAAGGCAAGTCGGCTCACTGGTAGTTTGATGTCTTCGGTAGGGCCTGGACCACATACTGGATGTCCACGGAATCTGAGCGGCCGGAATTGTCGGATCGCAAGGTCATAATGTCGCGATAATTTGCGGAAACCCTGGAGGTATAAAGCAGGGCTGGCATTTTTGGCCATGGTGGCCCACTATGATTGGTGAAATGCTATACGCACACACTATGCTGTTACCAAAATTAAAATAAATCTCAGTAGTAGCCTACGTGCCCTTGAAGAGAGTACCAAGGCTAGAAAATCAATGTGCTCATTCACTACTCATATACATCATTGTGGTAGTAGATGGCCCCGGAGTACACAATGCCTATGGTGAAAGCACTTGCTAAAGAAACTCTACAAGATTTATCATTTCAATTTTTAATAAAATGTGTGCGAGTACAAATAAGATACATAAATGTCGGCTTTTTTTTTTTTGGTCCCAGTCCAGTCCTGTACACAGGTCATTGAAAGTCCTTGAATTTATCTATTTCTGCATGAAATTGCATGAAAATAGGATTTCGCCGTGTGAATTTCAAAATTTTCTCGGGGGAGAAAATCCCTGAACCCCCTTGAAATCTTTCTGTTTGTCACAACAGGACATATTGCTTGATTTTTTAAGCAGATGACTATACTACCATAGATTGATGAAATTGATCTTGATCTGTACCGTAAAACAAAAATACGTCTATGGACATATGTGGGGCTTAGGCCTATAGATATGAATATGTAAACATACACTCATTACATGTGCATATGAACTCTTTTAAGGTAAAAATTTAAATGTGCCGCTGTGTCCACGTATGTTCGTGACCACGCACGCACAAGCAGATATTACGTCACAAGATAAAATCTCACTCCAGCCCTCTGACCACAGTTGGCAACCTTGGATAATAAAACACTTACACACTGAGCCTGATACAAACTTCAATTACCAAAATGTATGAAATGCTCCTTTAACCTTACTGACGGAGAGGAATGAAGTCAGGCTATGGCGTTCAGCAAATCAGCAGGAGTTAGCATTAAGTTAGCATGAACATGACGCAGCCTATATCCATTAGCCTGCTCAACATAACACACAGCTCATCGATGCTCCTAACACATTCACTCTGCTCATCCTGCTTCACACAATTTACTGTCACTCTTGTATCTCAACCATATGCATCTTCACACACATTTCACTCACTTTAACTCACACAGATCGTCATTAGCGACGCACTTAGCTGCCGAAGCTATTTCTAGCGGCACCCTCCACGATCCGCGACACACACACACACACACACACACACACACACACACACACACACTCACACTCTCTTAAGGCTAAAGTATATTTGCTGCACGAAATGTGTGTGCGTGCAGTTTTCGTGCACGTTTGGCTGCCGCGTATTTTGCAGCCGTTTGGCGCATAGACCGCACACTTTGCTGCCAGGTAGCGTGACGCGTACGCGAGATGCAATATTGACATGAACACTAGAGGTGCTCGTGCGAAGTATACCTAGAGACTGTGAAAGTGAGGTTGGAGGTGGACTGGTGAAAAGGATATAATGGAATGAAAGATGTAGGAGCAGAGACCCCTCTTCTGGGTCTACCTTAATGCAACGTAACGGATGCCAACCGCTGTAAAACTCCAAAGAACAAGATTTCTATGTGCTTTTCCTCATCGATTGCTTGCATGGGTAAAACAAGGGAAACAAACTCCCCAAGTGATTGGTTAAGAGGCCGCACATACCATCTCCGATGGCGGTGGAGACGACGCCTTTTCCTCTGCCAAGATCTTAACAGCAATAGAATTATGATCTCCTCTTCATCGAGAGTGTCCATGTTTGTGTTTATCCGGAAATACACTGTCAACGCATTCTTTGTTTTTTCGCGACCTCTGTGTCTGAGTGCTGCGGTCTGCCCCTAGCGGAGACCACCAGTATCAGGTGTTTTGGCTGCATCGACCAGCATCCGTGCTGCAGCAAGTATACACACAGGTGCAGAACACCGTGTACGCGTACGTTTGGCCAGCAAGTATACTTCTCGCTTTAATCACGGTCAAAGTCAGTGTCTCTGAGTGTCACAGTTACACATTAAGGTTCTGTTGACACATACTACTGTCTTCTGGGTGTTCATTATCCTCAGCTTACCTGTAGNAAAGTCAGTGTCTCTGAGTGTCACAGTTACACATTAAGGTTCTGTTGACACATACTACTGTCTTCTGGGTGTTCATTATCCTCAGCTTACCTGTAGGAAATTTAGAAACATGACTGGCTGCTATTTCAAGCATGACCTTCATCTCTGTAGCTAAAGTTGCTAGCCTAATTATTACTGACTGAATGAACCGAGTACACCTCTTCTGATTAACTGTAACGTTACCGTCATTATCATAAACATCAAAATTTAGAACACAGTCACATTTTATAACTTTGTAAGGCCATCATGTACATGATTAGCTGAGTTGCTAGTGTAAGCTATCGCAAAGAACTAGAACTAGTTAAAAAATCAACAGGCTAACGTTAGTCTATAGCCTACTTTAACAAACTAACTTACCACAGGGGCAGAAACAGATGAAACATTGTCTTCAGAGTCCCGACGCCAAGTGTCGCATCCTACTCCAACTGGAGCGGCACTTGAGGAACTTGCATCAGTTTTTTCAACCATCTCAGCATTGCTAGGTTCTGTGCTCTGATGAGGAGTGGCGAGCATAGCTGGCAAGTGGCACCCAGCGTGACATCATGCAGTGAGTTGAGATAATATCCCAGGATTGATTTTGGACAGTTTGGCAATAGCCTTTACTAGTTCAATCAATCAATCAATCAATCAATCAATTTTATTTATAAAGCCCAATATCACAAATCACAATTTGCCTCACAGGGCTTTACAGCATACGACATCCCTCTGTCCTTATGACCCTCACAGCGAATAAGGAAAAACTCCCCAAAAAACCCTTTAACAGGGAAAAAACGGTAGAAACCTCAGGAAGAGCAACTGAGGAGGGATCCCTCTTCCAGGACGGACAGACGTGCAATAGATGTCGGACAGAACAGATCAGCATAATAAATTAACAGTAATCCGTATGACACAATGAGACAGAAAGAGAGAGACAGAGAGAGAGACAGAGACAGAGACAGAGAGTCGTAAGTAGTTGTTAACTTTCTGTTTAAATGATTAAAAGTAACATCAAATTTATGTCTAGATGTGATGACTTTGCAAATAACACGAATTTCAAAACAGAATTGACATGCTTCGTTCTGAAGAGGTGACACTTCAAATAGCCGATTAGATGTGTTATGGCCCATAATGCATCTAATCGGCTATTTGAAGTGTCAGGACTCCTGACTGTGTATTGTAGTCTGTTCCTGTCCAGTTTGGTGGCTGATCCAAACCACACAGTGATGGATGGGCAGAGGACAGACAGCAGTGTTGAACTGTATCAGCAGCTCCTGATGCAAGTTGAACTTCCTTAGCTGCTGCAGGAAGTTTATTCTCTGGCGGGCCTTTTTCCTGATGGTGCTGATGATGGATGTCCATTTGAGGTTCACAGCAGACAAATGGTGCTTTTCAAAAGCAAGGAAGGATCCTTAAACAGCTGAATTTCAAGGAGGCTACATCACCAAATTCCACCAAAGGATTGTTCCAATATCAAGGATCCTTCAAATACCACCAAGGACTGAGTCCTTCCTTCAGAGAATTTTCAAGAATGCATGTGTGTATCCTCAGTGTACCCACAAGTACCCACAATTCTTTGCACATGATTTGCCGGAATTGAAGGCGGGACCTCTTCAATGATGCACACCTCGGCACTCGCTTGCCTGTTTCAATGTGTGTTCACAGAATGATAAGAAGGAGTCTTGCCTAGGCTCTGTACGACCCAACTTGGAAGGACCCATCTTACCAAGGACTTGACTTTGAGAAGCACCAACAGTGTTGTTCTGCTTTGTTCAGGTCCAGGTTGTTCTGACCGCACCAGAGGGCCATCTGATCAATGTCCCATATGTATACAGACTTGTCAACATCCCAGATGGCAGTTGGTTTCTGGTTGCCCCAAGATCAAGGTGGAAGCACCGGGGAGATTGTGCCTTTGCAGCTGTACAGCTGTAGCTCCCAAACTCTGTTGCTTCTGGATGTGCAGCTGGCCCCTACACTGCCAGTTTTAAAAACATATAATTTTTCCTTGGCTTTTGGTCTTTGGGTGTTTATTGCGTTGTCTTATCGTTTTTGTTTGTTTGTTTTGTTTTTGTTTTTATCATACAACACTGTTATTGTTTCTAAATGGTGTTTTTAAATACATTTGGATTGGAATGGAAAACATATGCAGCATATTTGGATGGAACTATCAACTTATCTCCACCACCTTTTCCAAGACAATATACTTATGACATACACAAACTTATTTCAAACTTTTGAAATAAGAAATGGAAATTTTCTACAATATTTACAATTGATAAAAACAATCAAGAAGAGAATTCCAGCGCCTCAGGATACTTTGCAGCCACCAGAATTTGCCAAACATATTACAAAGCTCTGAGAAATAAAAATAACCT